ATGAAGTAAGATGCTCTAGTAGAACTGAAATAAGATATATTTAATAAAATCATAATATTGTAGTATAAATTTATTTTTAAGATTCTATTACAGCTTATTCTCATTATAGTGAAGTCCCAGAATAAGAAAAAAAATCTGTACTATAGCTTATATCGAGAAAATACTATATATTGAGTTGAAGTTTAATATTCTAGAATTCAAAAATTCTTCTCTATATCGAATTTTCACTATAATGAAAGTTTATTATAAAGAAAGTAAGTTGTATTTAAGCTTGCATATCAGATGTACTATATATGATTTGCTTCATGTATATGAATCATCTTAACAAAACAATCAAATCAAATCAAATCAAATACAAATTAGCTTTATATTCGATTCGATTTGATTTAATTGGTGATTCGCCAGTCACCTGATGCATGATCATAGTGTAACATGACACAGATCACTATGTAAATCACATATACCCCGAATGTGGCGTTAAGAGTGATTAACTTAGTACGAAAAAAAGTTTTCCTTGGGCGAACGCCACATTCAGGGTATATGTGATTTATATAGTGATCTGCGTCACGTTATACTATGATCATGCACCAGGTGACTGGCGAATCACCAATTAATCAAATTCAAATTAGGCTAATATTTGATTTAAAAAAATCAAATCAAATTCAAATCAATCTAATATTCGATTTGATTTGAGTTTGTGAAACCTTAGTCACTTATAGAATATAAATAAATTAGATATTGATTAGATATTTTTTTTTAAAAAAAATAAATACATTAAAAAATTTTTTTTACAAAATTATTTTTTGCAAAGTATCAGCAGAAGTTCTAGCAGATGCTAATTTGCATGAATGGGATTTTTGCTTTATATGCAAAGATAATATTGATCTAACACTTAAGGAGTTAATAATAATTTTAAATTGTAAACATTTTTTCTACAAATCATATATAGAATATTGCACTGATAGTCAATATTCACTATGTCAAGAAGAGTGTATTGAGCCGACTAAGCTTGAAAATCATTATAGTCAAAAAAGTACTCAAAGAATTTCTATATAGTTAGATAATGATTTTTATATTAATTCTGAACATGATGATAATTCAGAAAAAATAAATATTCAAATCTTTTGACAAGTCAGCTTTATTAAATCGTTATTAAACTCTGAATCTGATACTTCTATTACAACTTCATTCATTTTTACTATGTTTGTATCTACATTCACAACTATTGATATTATGATTTCCACATCTGTATCTACATCCACTACTACCAATATTATAACTTCTACACCTGTATCGACTTTCAAACCTGCACCTATATTGACCAACACTGCTACTGATATTATATCTTTCTTACTATCTATATTGACTATTATGATTTTCACATCTGTACCTATATTAACCAACACTACTACTGATATTACATCTTTCTTACTATCTATATCGACCATTATGACTTCTACACCTGCATCTATATCAACTAACACTACTACTGATATTACATCTTTCTTATCTGCATCTACCACTATTACCGCTACTATATCTTCTGCACCTGTACTAGCTACTATATCTACTATTACCATTATTATAAACATCAAAATAAAACATTTGATTCAAAAATTAAAGAATCCTATAATAAGAAATAATAATACTGTCAATAATATTGTTGATGCTAATGAAGACATTAATGATCTAATATTAGTACAACTTTATAATAAAGTTATACGTATAAAGAGAAATAAAACTAGAGTGAAAAGAGCAATAATTAGTAGCTAGTATAAATTTTCACAAAAGTTGGAAAATCAAATTAATGAAAAGTTAAAAACCGTCGAATAACTCAAAAAAATACAACAAGCAACATCAGCAAAATTTTTAAACAGATATATATCGATATATAGCAGTTAATCGATATATATCGATTAAAAATTATTGATATATATCGATTAACTGCTATATATCAATATATATCACTAATAATAAATAACGATTATTGATATATAATGATTATAATTACTATCGATTAATAACAATTTTATAAAATTTGACTAATTTTTTTAAACTTTAACATTAATTTTTTTGATAACTATCAATCCAAATTGGTTTAAATTTTTATAATATATAGTATATATATTCAACTATAATATAGTAAAATTTCAGCCAATTTGAATTAGTAGTTCTTGAGAAATCATTTGT